TTAATCAATCACAATGTAGTGGTTTAGTTTATGTAGTATCCTAAAAAAATCAATTAGCATCTCAGCACTTCAGCACCCGCCCAGCACCTACTCAGCACCTGAGCACCTACTCAGCACCTACCCAACACCTGAGCACCTACTCAGCACTTTTCCAGCACCTGAGCACCTACTCAGCACCTCAGCACCTGCTCAGCACCTCAGCACCTGTCCAGCACTTTTCGGTGCTGGGTGCCAGCACTTACCCCCCTGTATTACATTTTATGAAAATACATCGTATTTTTTTTCAGCTAAAACTTACGATTGAGAATACACAAGACTATTGATATAGTTAATGTTCTTCTTCAATCTTAACTGATCAAATTAGAATCAAATTATCTAAATAAAACCTTACCATTTAAAATGCAAATTAAGATATAGTACGTTTGATAACGTTGTTTTGGAAAATACATTTTCTGTGAATCCTTTCATTACATATGGTTTGTAATTCATTAAGAATATTTTTATGGTAGGTAATAGAGAATTTTATGCTGATTTTTTCTAGATACAATTCATCACGTATATTAAAGCTGTTTCAGGAATTTCGGGTTGAACTTGGGTATATTTCCTATGGGAAACAGCTCATTTTTTGGGATTTTTCAATAGGTCTTCTGCAGCCATTCTTGGAGATCCCATGCCAATTTTTTTATAGGGTTGTAGCCCACAAAGAGTACTTCTAGATTTTATATATCAGCTCCCTAGACAATCTATTTCTTGGAAGATAGCTTAACCTGAAAGTCGCCATTTTTATCAAAAAGCCGTTTTTGAGACGACTATTCTGTCCAAACGGAATGATTTAGATAGCTGAAATTTTTAGAGATGATAGATCTTTTAGGTCTCTATTCATGCTAAAAATTTCAAATCTTTAGCTAACTCCAATGGAAAATTATGAAGCACCAAACTTACCAAAAAAGTGCTTTTTTCGCATATATTCAGTGGTTCATAAAATCTCAATGGTTCAATATTTTCCGGCAAAAATTTTATGATGAATAGAACTCACTGAGTTGTATACCCAAAATAAATTTCAGCTTAACTGATTGAGTAGTTCATGAGATATGATCATCTTAGGACCCACCTTGATGAGGATTATCATTTTTAGAGCTTTTCGTAAAATGTTCATAGAAGATAGAGGGATGAGTATTTTTTAAATCGGCTTTCGGCAAAATTCTTAGAATTCTTTCCTCTACTACATATCCAAAATTGAGCAAAATCTGACGATCTCGATTGAGCAAGGTTCCTGTGGGGCAGGTCGTGGCTTATATGGACTGGCTCATAAATAAAAAAAATCCTTTCACTTTTTTCTAAAAATTAATTAACAATTTAAGTTTCGATCTAATTTATAGACAGGATATTAATCTATCTGTGTAATTTTTTTTAAAGCAACAATTGTGATTTAATTATTCTTTTTTCACAATTATCGTCAAATGTTACATCAGATGTTCCTTTTGTCTTGCTACAGATCATATTCTTTATTCATCAAAACGTGATGATATTATCTCATTTTGATCTGCGTGATTTTCTTTCCTTCTTATGAAAACTGTCATTCAAAAACATTTAAATAAAAAAGCAAAATTGAAGGAGAGAAAAAGCAAGTTCTCAAGATTCTGAATTGGATGTGAATGTGGATGTGGGTGTGTGTGCCGTGGGGGTGTGGGATATGCATATGGGTTGGTTTTGCGTCTTGATGATCATTTCGACCTCAAGCATAACCCACGCACGCACACCCATCACATCCTCTCAGTCTCGATTATGTGAGTATCGTCGGAAACAAGTGATTCTCCCGTCAAGCTCGCCTAGTTTCCTAACAACTTACAGTATTTTTCTGAAATTCATCCGATTTCCGGAAAGCCATATAATGGATCATATGAAAATGGCGAAATTTACGAAAGAAAAGAATAATGCTGCATAGGAGTGACCGATTATCATAAACACAATTAGTGCGGCTTTTATGAAGAGAAAAAAAGACTGCTATACACAGGAATTAAATTCAACATGTAAAACAATCAATAAAAGTTCGTTTCATCTTCGGCGACGGCATCAAATTTTTTCTTGTCAACTCGACGATCGTTCGATCCGTTTCAAAGTTATGATTATTTTTATTGTTATTGTTATTTACAACTATTATTGTTGATTATTGGATCTGACGATGACTGGTAAGACCGAGAATTCATCCTTAAAACACAAAGAATAAAAAAGTCATCGTAATATCACGTCCTGTGCTGCAAATGATTAAAATAATACACATATTAACCTCTTTTTACAATGGCGAAATTGAATAGAGCACATGATTGTTTCTAGGCTTAGGTTCGCACCTACCATGGTAGAAGTGCGTCGCAAAATACGTAACTACGAGCCGCCTGTAAGATTCTTTTCACAACATCACATGCGTCGTATTCGCTTTCTTATCTTTCTCTTCTCTGTGGTGATATTTTTTGCGGCAGAAAAAGGGATGAGAAAATCGAACTATAGCCACAGGTGATGATAGGGCTCACTTGCTCTCCGACTACGAAACATTTTCTTATTCTCTTTCATACAGTAGCACGACAACATGATGCTCAAGTTTCAAGGTATGTGCCGTTGGTTTTAACTGTCGTGATTCTCTACGCTCCATCAAAGTCAAGTAGAAGGACATTGAAATCGACACTAACTTCGCTCGACGATGAGCATTTCGTGTTTAAATCCAAGCATGTGTCTAGTAGAGACCGTCACAGGGTAGAGCCAGGCAAAACAGTTTGCTCTGATATTTTTTTCCATAAAAGGTCATTTGAGAAACATTCTCTAAATGCAAACATGAAATTTTCAGTTCATATGCCTTTTGCATGATTTCATCAAACAGTGATGATTTCATGTCTTCAATTGATTTCATTACGTCTTTTGAATCTTAAACAAACTCTTTCGATTTCGAGGGCATTCAACATCTCTGATCAGATCAAAAGCGACTATATCAAATAATAAGTCTCCTGCTAAATTTCAAAGAAACTTCGGTTCTCGACTCAACTGAATTTTGATAATCAATCACAAATTATTACTAGTTTTATTGATAGATACATTATTTTTATATGAATATTCTATAGGTGACATGTATGCATGAAACAAAAATGTCGAGAAATTGGACTAATATAGCCTTTTTTTAAATTAACAATCGGTTAAAATGGCACTATTTTCATCGTTTTATAATATGACTTTTAGCCTAGATTTTGGTTTTTCCACCATTTTAAAGATTTTTTCAAATCTTTCTCATCGATTATAATTCATTAATACATCTTAATCAGTAATAATTGACAAATCTATTTAATCGATTAGAAAAAGTTCGAAAAAATCTTTCAAAATAGAAAAATCGAAACGTAAGACCAAATATCGGACCATAGTTGGATGGATCATAGTGCCATTTTAATAGATTTTAATCGAAAAAGAATCTATTTTAATACGATTTCTCTCTGTTTTTTTTGCGTGAATATTATCGTGTCGAATGACGTAAATAAAATACGAATACTAAACAAAAACAAAAACAACTTTCTACTAGTTATTAATCCGTGTCATAGTTGGGCTCAATGTATAAGCCCTGCCCTGAGTTCTTTTCTTTCTGGCAAAAAGATGATATTATATTTATCTTGAGAGGACAGTAATCACTGATACAGGAGAGATGAGAAAGGAGACAGCGTAAATAGAAGCTCTTCCTTTTTCTCAAAGTATTTATTGATTTTTTTTATTACTCTATCTGATAAGAATGGCATTATTACCGAAATTTTGAAAGAAGGTCATTGGACAAAACGCTTATTACTTTTTAACAAAGATAGCTGGAGATCTGCAGTTTTCACCATACAAAAGATGAGGTCGGGAGACGCAAAGCCATGGGAAAATAAAGAATTTTAGAAACGTTTCTAGGCAAATTCTAGCGAAACAAAGTCAAGAAGACACGCAATTTTCCAAAAAAAGCTTTTTTTCTAAGAAGAATTGCCTGGCTAATTAACTTTGCTTTGGTAGAGTTAGCCTAGGAATGCTTCGGTAAATTTTTATTTTTCCATGAATTTGCGTCCCCAGGCCTCCTATTTCGAATGCTGAAAACGACAGCTCTCCAGTTCTTTTAGTTAAAATGTTATAAGCATTCTACCCACTCCTGTTCCGTTTAAAAAGCGATAATAGAGTTGGCCTAGAAAACACTTTGAAAATTTTTTATTTTGGAGTGCGGGTGTCGATTGTGGAATGGATGCGCGTGTGTCTTCTCTTCTGCTACCTACGCCCATACCCACAATATTTCGTCTGCTTTCCCTCTTCGTCTTGTGAACTGAGATACAGATGTGTACTTGCTCTTCTTGCAACTCACCTGTCTATCCTCTACAGTCTTGTTTGTACTTTATTTTTCATTGAAGATTTAACTTTAAAAAAGAACGTCTTCCAAATACCTTAAGATTGTATTATGTTCAACAAGTATTTACTCGTATTCATTGCACATGTACTTCTTACCTGTGCATTTACCACTGATGCGTCTAGTATCTGCTCGTGTTCATGTTGCGATGGCGCAGAATGTGATCCCATACCTGAAGGTAACATCGAAGTTCTGAGCTGCGACGGATTAAATTGTATCAAAGCATGCAAAGCTAAATTCCCATTGTCATGTAACAGTTCGTCTACAGGTACAGTAGACGTGAGTTGCAATGAGAGCACGACACCACAACCAACAACAACAAGTACGATGAGAAGTAGCAGCCGGACACATCCATGGAGCACCACAGCATCCAGTGTGCCTAGTACTGCTACAACAGCCTATGGCTATGGTATATGTTCGTGCTCATGTTGTTTTGGTGAAGAATGTGTCCCTACTTATGAAGGTAGTGTCGAAATTCCAAGTTGTGATGGGCAGTTTTGTATGATGACATGCCAACGTCGATTTCCATGGACATGTGGTAGTTCGGGTTCACATGAAGTTGATGCAAAATGTACACGGGTTACACCAACGACAACCACTAGCACAAAGCCCACTACAATAAGCCCAACGACTCGTGCCTATGATATCTGTTCATGTTCATGTTGTAATGGCGAAGAATGTGTGCCGTCTTATGAAGGCATTGTCGAAGTTCCAAGCTGTGCCGGGCAATATTGTGTGATGGCGTGTCAACAGAGATTCCCATGGACGTGCGGTAGTTCCGGTCCCCATGAAGTGGACGCAAAATGTAGAGGGATTACATCGACAACACCCACTGCCACACCATTTACAACAACGTCGTCTGTGTTGACCACAACAACCTCTACCTATGCTCTATGTTCGTGCTTTTGTTGTACTGGTGACGGCTGCGATCCAGTGAATCAAGGCACCATTCAAGTTCCAAGCTGTGCCGGGCAATATTGTGTGATGGCATGTCAGAATAGGTTTCCATGGACATGTGGTAGTTCAGGGCCACATGAAATTGATGCAAAATGTAGTCGAAATACACTGACCACAATCACCAACACGAAACCTCCGACAACATCTGTTATGACCGACACAACATCGACTGCAAGATCTAACATTAGGACAACCCAGTGAAAAATATTCCTGAAATAATCATGATTATTTTTGATTATCAACCAAATCGATTGATTTTTTCTAAAACAATTCGATTAAAATCTAGAAATCCCTAAATCTGATTGTATGATTTTCAATTGATTATAAACGATTATTATGGATGAAATCACATTTTCTGAAATAATCGATTATAATTTCCAAGATTGATTAAAATCGAAAAATCACTCATCCCCATTGTGTGATTTTCAATTGATCAAAATCGATTACTAACGATTAAAACAGATTTCCTAAAATAATCGACTATAATTTTCAAAAGGGTGTGGATGGATATGGTACATGAACGACGCACATCCACACCCCATACCCTGTTTGCTTAACTTATACAACTTGACGTTGTTGTAATATAAAATCAATATAAAGAAGATAAGAAAATATAAGAAAAATATTTTATTTCTCAATTACGAGATCCTGTGTCTGTGTATGACTGGATCTTTCAACATTCACACATTCACACTCGTCTAGTTACTCGATCATTCCGGTCTTATCCACTAAACTATCCACATAGAGCCTTTGAGGATGTAGTGAAAATATGAGGATTCATGATGAACACAGTTTATTTATTCAAGTCAAAAAGAAATTCAAGTACATTTGTTTTTCACAAGTTCGATGTTTCTTTGCAATTGCACTATTTTCGAATGCGTTGGAGAGAGAATTTTTTCCATAATACCTAGTGTTTTTTCGAAAAATAGAAGTCCTTCAGAAAATTCATTCATATTCTTATAAACTAAACCCATGTTAACGTAGGTATTAGCCATGTAGAGAGATTTGACAGGATGAATTTCTTCGAAAATATGTAGTGCTTTCTGGTGAAATGAAAGTGCTTTACAATAATCACCCATACTATAATAAACAGAGCCGACATTTGTATAGGAAGCAGTCAAATCTCCATAGTTCTGAGCATCAAAATTTTGTTGAATATCCAATGCTTTTTCGAGCAATGAGAGTGCTTTCGAGTAATCGTGCATGTGAAGATGAACCAAGCCAATGTCGCTATGAGATTTAGCAACTTTTGGATGGTTCGCATCCAGGTTTTTTGGTCGATTCTAGTACTTTTTGAATGATGAAAGTGCTTTTTTGTAATCTTCCATGTCAAGATGAACCAAGCCGATACTCCTGTAACAATCAAGTACGACGGGATGACTTAAAGGAAAATTATTTTGACTGATTTCAAGTGGTTTTTCGAGAAATGAAAGTGCTTTCGAGTACTGGTCCATTTCATAATGCAGCGTATCAATGCAAGTGTAGGATTGAACCAATTTGGGATCATTTTCAGGCAGATTTTTTTCGAATATATCGTGTGCTTTTTTGTGAAATGAAAGCGCTTCCAAGAAGTTACTCACTTTTCCATATATTGAAGCGACGTTATGGTACGAAATAGCCAATCCTTTAAGAATCGGCAGATGAATTTTTTCTTGTATTTCAAGTCCTGCGCAGTAAAATGAAAGCGTTGTCGAGTACTGGCCCATCGCATTATGAGCCATGCCGATGTTGTTGTATGAATCAGCCAAGTTCTGGTGAATCGGCGGAAGAGATTTTTTGCAAATATCGGGTGCTTTTTCGTGAAATGAAAGTGCTTCGACGTATTCACCCATACGATAATGTAACGAATTAATGCTACTGTAAAATTCAACCAATCGAGGGTCGTTTGAATTGATAATTTTTTCTGAGATAACAAGTGATTTTTTCTGAAATGTAAGTGCTTCACGGTATTTATCCATTCGAATATATGCTAAACTGAAGAAAATGCAGGAATCCGCTAAGTCCTGATGATTCGAAGGGAGCGTTTTTCACGTACAGCGACTCCTTTCTCGTGGAACTTGATAGCCATGCTGTATTGTTAGTGCTCATACTTGAGTATTGTGTGGGTGGGTGGGTGTGGGTATGGATGAAAAGAAAACCCACACCCAACTCACGTACCGCACCCACACCCACACCCACACCCACACCCCTTCTTATATATAAAAGCATAAAAATATGTGATTAAATGAAAAATAACATATCTATTCTTTACAAAATATTGATACTCGTTAATGTCTCGTCATATAATATATCTGTCCAAGTGATGATTATGTTAACCTTCATGCTTATTGTTGATATGTTTTTTATGATTATGTGTGTTTGCTATAAATTGAAAAATGAATAAAATAAATCTAATAGTAACATTTTATTTATAAGATAAAGTAAAAAGAGACCAAGAAACACTGTTTATCTCAAAGAAAATGTTTTATCTGTTTAACACCAACTTAAATACATTCTCATAAGGGCAATTAATAAAAAAAAAAGATGATTTATGATGATGTACTCGATATGGACAATAATGAAGAATGATGACGAGAAAGAGATAGTTTTCTTCACAAAAAAAATCTACATAACAAAAAAACATAACACTTAGAATTAACCAAAAGTTTAACAATATGGAACAAAAGATACAGATAAAAAAATATTGTTAATCTTTTTATTAACGATATTCATCACGCAAAGCGTAAAAGTTGAAAAGTTTTTCTAAAAGCCGCATTTGCGATGTTTTATATTTAAATAATGAAGTTAAATCCATCTGTTCTATTAGGTTTTCAAATTTTGGTGTAATATTTAATACTCTACATTCATCGATATATTCGTTCAACGATTCATGTTGTTGTATGTTTCTTTGTAGACGTACAAAAATGACTTCGATTAAATCATGATAGAATATTCCAATATCTCGTGCAAGTTTTTGATAAGTTTCTGTAACCGCATAATATAAAGTTCTATCAATTGGACCAATATGATAATCATTTGATTTTAATGCTAATAACAATGTTTTATCTAATGGATCAATTCGTAAATTCCGAGTACGAAATTGTTTCATTAATACATTTTTAAGTGGTGTTGATACAAGAAAACAAAGTTTTTTAAATTCATTTTCAAATAATAAACGTTTAACATCATTTAATTCATTCTCCACGTTGTTTAATCGTACCGATAAATGACACTGTTCCATTATAAGCGACTCTGCAATTCGTCGAAGATCAGTCATCACGCTTTCAAATACTTCATATTGACTCTTATCAATTAATGCTAATGCTGACATCTTCTTTTCATCAGGATCATTAGGATCATCTTTTGTATCAGTTAATCGTAATAAATCGTGTAATCGACCATGTAAATTATCAAAATCTTCAATTGATCGTAAACTAGTTTTAGCCATCGGTTGATATTTATCAATTAATTCTACAAATTTATCCCGTCTTTTATTACTTGTTGCTGGAGTGTTTAATAAATCTTGTAAATCAATTAAAAATTTTTCGTTATCATTCGACATGATAATACTTGTACAAAAATCTAAATATATAGAGACAGAAATTAGTTGGGCATTAAAGATGATGTCTAGATTTTCTCAGATCAATATCGATGTTCAACGTGATGTACTTGACTGAAACTAATCAAACAACATATATCAGTTAATTACAAGCTTGAGATGGTACTATAGTTGTTGTGATCTTATGGACTACGTCAAAGTTAGTCGTATGCACAACATGAAAATATATTGAATGGTCAGTGGGCAATAAAGAACACATCTATTTTTCTTAAAGCTGAAGCTGAATGTAGCATGCTACAGAGTGTCTACTCATGAGGAATCCAAATATGAGATAGAATCTTATTTTGGATTTTGGTTGAGTGAACGAAGCTATCAAAAACAATTAATAAAATTATGCAATAAAAATATCTTATAAGATTTCATCTTTCTAATCACGAGAGTATTTCAGATCTATCTTGGCAAAAATAAAAGTTTTTAATTTTTTTTAAATTAAAGTACTTTTAATTAAAACTCCACGAACGCTCAGTACTTTCTCACTATCTATTACAAAAAATTCTAATGCGTTACATAAATGTTTTCTCATTTACAGATTGACTACGTTATTTTTAATAGTTAGATATAGTCCACTATATCTAAGTACAACATCGGAAATTTCTTATTTCGATACAGTTGGATAGAGCATCAACTGCTCTATCAAACCATATGGTTTCGATTTTATTTCATTTGGCTGCACTCCAAAAATTAATAAGTTACAAATGAAGTCAAAAAAAATTTTTTTAGAAAATTGCTGGGACAGAATGAATGACCACATTTTGAACTTTGCTTTTATAGCATCTAATAGGATTTATTAAAAACGAAACATACCAGAAGATGCGCCGTGAAAAGCTCTACAATTTACATAAGATCGCTTGTTTTACTTCTACTCTTTTTGTCTTCAAAATGGACAAAGATCTGACCGATCAAATGTGGCCTATGCGAGTATTGGTGTCACAGCATTTTTTAAATTTTTTTTAAAGCAATTTCAATAAGCTTTACTATGTAGTTTGTAGAGCTTTTCACGCTGATTCTTTTGGTACGTATAGCTTTTTTAAGAAGACATAATAGGTGATAAAAATATTAAAGCGTAAAAAGACATCTTTTTCGTGGAAAAAAACGATTTTTTCAACGAAGAAATTAGAATTTAGTCCGTTTGAAGACAAAAAAAGTGAAGCGGTCTTATGTAAATTGTAGACCTTTTTACGGCGCATCTTCTGGTATATTTTTTTTTTTAATAAAACCTATTAGATGATGTAAAAATGAACTACAAAATTTGTGCTTTCTCAAAAAAATTTGTTGACTACATTTCTAACTTATTAATTTTTGGAGTGCAGCAAAAGGAAATAAAATCGAAACCATATGGTTCGATAGAGCAGTTGATGCTCTATCCAACTGCATCGAAATAAGAAATTCCCGATGTTGTACTTAGATACAGTAGACTGCACAAAACTATTAAAAATAACGTAATCGACCTGTACTTTAAACGAATTGAATTAAAGAGGAAGGCTATAACTGACATCGAGAGGAAAAAAACCGTTCAATATATGATGTGCACGTGTTATCGGGAATACTATTAAGCATCATACAAGCAGTCTGTAGATGAAAAATAAAACTTTTAAAAATCATGACGACAACCTTAAAAATTTTTTCTTCACACTTGTTTGAGATTGATCAAAATTTTGGGCTAGAGCCAGAGAAACTAACAAACAAATTATATAATTTGATAGAAGAGCTGATGCTCTACCCAATCGTGTTCAAATAAAAAAATTCGATGTATAGCATAAATAGAGCAAACGACACAAAACTATTAAAAATAACGTAATCAACCTGTAAACGAAATATTTTTTCTATAAAAGCCAGTGGAAAGAGCGTTTAAAAAAAAGATTTCCAATACATTTCTTAATAATTCTCATGTGACTTTTTCATAATAATGAGGTGACAAAATTAAATTAGAAAATCTTGATAACAATGCCGTACTTGTGTCAAATAAATGTCAAAAAGATATACCTATATATTGAAAAAATGTACTTAAAATAAATTGCAAGTTTTATAAGAAATATATTCGAAATTGAATAACCTTTTAGTTTGCACATATCGTTTTTAGTTATGAAATATCGTATCGTGGTGACTGTGTATGGATAAATGAAGAGAAACACAGTAAAGTATATTATACTAATAGGACAACAAAATACGTATCTTAACACAATAAAAATCGGTTGTGGATTTTTTTCGAATTTTTAGCTTTTCGATCTGGCAATTCTGATTTAAAGATCTTTTCAAGATCGCTTTACACCTTGTCCACAAACGACATCTTCTACAGCGATAATAAATCATAATGCATCGTCATTCACCATGATGACTCATCATGTATCGTCATCCACGATGACAATGCAAGACTGTATGTATATAAGTGTATGCTTATTTAATATATCGTACACTTGATCCTTGTTAGTATTGTGTTCAAACTGACGTTAATTGAGAAAAGTAATTGTTCATACGGAATCTGTGCTTCAGATTTCAGTTTAGAATGTTCATACTAATCAGTCATCATCAAGATTCAGCGACTTAATATCATAAACAACGATATAAACAAACAGCATAATGGGGTATGTAATTTCTACGTCGTCAATCGAACTAACCAGAAGCGGTCTAGAAAAAATGCGCACACACGTGAGATAATGTCAGAACGCAAGACAACATCGTCCGTCAACAAGAGAGAAAGGGGCGTAACAGAATATAGCAGTCAAGAGCAAGAAATATACATCGCAAGAGATAGAGTAACAGTTATTGAAAACGTAGTGCAAGAAACGGCGTAAAATTTGCTAAATAGTTTATGTAAACATAGGCTAATGGTTTCACGTGCGACGCTCGTAAGTAAAGTTAGCAGCAAATTCGAGTATTTCTGTCAAACATTCGTTCCTTGATTTATGTTGCCTTACAAATACGTGTAATTTGATCAAAACCATTATGACTAGAAACGAATGTCAACCGAAAATACTCGACTTTGCTGCTAGGTTTACTTATCTGTTCAACATGATGGTGAGAAGTGTTGGCACGTTATTATATGAGTAACTTTTCCTGATCGCAACGTTTGTGGTTAAAAGAAAAATCTTTAGGCGCTTATCCTATTGACTTTTTTTCATAGTGAACACCCGTTTGACTATTAGTAATCCCCTTATGATCGGCGTGCATTCTTAATGAAATTAGCCACACCTTGTCCACAAACGACATCTTCTACAGCGATAATAAATCATAATGCATCGTCATTCACCATGATGACTCATCATGTATCGTCATCCACGATGACAATGCAAGACTGTATGTATATAA